CTGTTGGCGTCTCCGCTACTCACCCCCCCCCCCCCCCCCCCCCCCCCAAAAAAAAAAAAGAAAGATAGTGAATTTTGGAGAAATACAGAACTGTGTAGCTTTTTGTAAGGAGTTGTATGAGAAGAATGCTAACTTTGTTGTGTATGATAGCTGGTTAACCATATTTGCTGAATGACTTTGAACCTCCTCTGGCCTTTGTGCTCAGACGTTAGAGCAGGAAGAAAAGGACAATGAAGCAGTCAGTAAAATGATGGCTCTCGATCAAAAGAACCAGCTGCTGAACCTCTTCCATGAAAAGAACCGACCAGCACTCACAAAATGGCCCCAGGTAAACACAAGGCAACAGAGTAGACTGTCAATTTATGTTCTTTATTCTCTATACTTTCAATTTTTCTCTTTCCAGGGTACAGATGTACTTTACATAGTTCCTCTGTTTTTTGTGGAAGAATGGAAAAAATTCATCAGGTATAATCTTTTTTCTTTTGCTTTTAAATGTCCTATTTACAAAATAATTGTCTTCAATGAAAAACAAAAATGTTCTTTTTAAATTTGACTCGAGATGTTTGTTGTAAAAAACAAAGCAAGTTGTAATGTACTGATCACCACTTTACATTCTGAGTTGGCCAGTTCTCCAATTATGTTATCTTTAACTTAACTGTGCAGTTCAGTCATGTTTATTTGTGTTTTTTAGGAGACCCACAAAATCCTCTCCAGTGTCTAATGTTGGCAACACTCTGCTGCTCTGTCCCCATGGTGGCTTCATGTTCACCTACGACTCTCTGATCAATGGAGAGGCACAACAGTGAGTTCTGCTTACATCACCTATATCACTGTTACTAGCCAGAGCTCTGCATCTTTTTAGTGCTACAATCACTGAATGCATTTGCCTTATAAAATGTTTACAAAACTCAAAGATGAAGTGATCTAAGTGCAACTGTCCAGGCCATCCACAACCTCAACTCTCCTTATCCATTCGATCTCTTGCACATCACCACCCATTCCCACGCCCTTCGTTCTTCCTCTTATACTTACCCTTCCCTTTGTTCGCCACAGCACCGTGGGAAACAGCTTTTTCCAACTTGACCCTCTTCCTCTAGACATCCACAGTATTAATTTCAATAACACTGATCAGGGTTAGTAAAAAAAATAGTTCCCTATGCAATATGTGACATCAGCAAGTACCTGAATTTTGAGCAAACAGAACTTCGAGTACAGTAGTCCCTCTTTTATTGCAGGAGTTAATCTGCGAAGTAGCGACGTTATATTTACATTATTATTTACCAGTATATATATATATTTGAACACTTTAGTGACCCCTCCCACACTCTTACAATGTTCTAAACTCTTAATTTTTGAAGTGGAATAAACTGTATTCCACCCTGTAAACGCTCACGTGTCTGAACTATATGTTCCCCACTGACAACATTTAACCACTTTTTTCTGATGATTTTTCACAAAATCTCCATGACTGCAAATGTAACGAACCACCTACAGTTGGACCAAAATCACCACACAAACAGTCAAAATTAAATTATATTTATTTTCAAGGTGAAGTGTTGCAGATTGGACCAGTTCTGGTCCTGGTTCTGGTTTTTGGTTCCGGTTCTGGTTCCGGATCAGGAACGAGTCTATGAGGCAAAGATCAGTTAGTGGTCATGCAGGAGACAATGGAGAGCAAAAGTCAGAATGAGGAGGACCACTAATCGTCTCAGATGAGCTTGGGAGTTCTGGAGACTGACGAGGTCCAAACTGATCTGGATTGCTGCAGGAGAGGCTGAGTCCGGTGAGGGGCTGGCTGCAACGACAGGTGGGTGGTGAGTCCGTTGAATGAAGAGACGTGGTCACACAAGCCTGGGTCCAAAACCGGGGAGCAGAAGATAGGAGGTACCGGAGGAGAAGACGAGGAGGCGTTGTCGTGCAGGCAATGGTCAAAACCAAAAGCAGAAGACGTGATAATCCAAAGGGTAGAGCGAGAGGCGATGTCCAGGTAAGTCGTGGGTCCAGGAGCCAGGAGGTCAAGCCAAGAGGGAAGGACAGGAACCAGGAGCAGGACAGGAACGAGGAGACAGGTAAACTATGACAAGGGAACATGAAAGGCTATGGGGGAACAAGGCAGGATCATAAACGCGAGGTATTTACTTGCAGAGAACTGTTTTCAACTACCGGGCACCGAAGAGGAGAAAAAGTGCAGCTTTTAAGGGTGAGAGAGACAGGTGCAGCCAGTTGAGTTCAATCAACTGCTGCTGGCTGCAGTGAAGACAAAACTAAACAACCGTGACATCACCCTCAACCAGCATGCAAAGAAGACAAACTAAAACTTACGTGTATAAACAAACATTACCTGAGCGGACAGAATAAATGAAACTCACAGAAAAGATCTATTGCAAACTTTAAAGGGTGATCAGGGTGACAGAAAATATAATCTACGGGACGTGATTTGTGACAGCAAAGCGTTCATAATGCAAAACACCACTGACAATCCTGATGCATGCTCAGTAATCCAGGTAGAAAAATCTAAAAAAGTTCAATCTGGTCCTCTGGACATTCAAAAAAACAAATAACAAAAAGGACAAACAAAAGGAAAAAAACAAAAAGGATGGACCATCACAGAAGATCAACATCATCAGGCCAGGACTCTGTGGTCTACACTCATCTCCAGGTCAGAGGTCACTCTTTCAGGGATGAAGATGTTCACATCCTGGACAGAGAGGAACGATGGTTTGAGAGAGGAGTAAAGGAGGCCATCTTTGTGAAAAGAAATCGTCCATCATTAAACAGGGGTGGAGGCCTCCGTGTTCAATTGTCCCCCTCTTACAATGCTGTTATTGCTAGTATCACTCAACCCCCTGTG